TATCATGCACTGAGTGCAAAAGCTTAAATAATTTCTATTTTCCTTTACTTGCACTATAAAAACTGCCGTATTTATTAGAGAAAATTTTAAATAGCAAAGAAATTTTTATCTAAAAACTACATGCATATTAAGTACAAAAAAACTAAAAAGTCAACTATCAGCAGCATTTGCACAAAAGTGCAGAATACATAGCAGAAAACATGAAATCATTTTTAATGATTACATTACTACATTACTAGTAACATTACATGCATACATTACTAGTGAGATTTCAGCATGTTTTAACAAGTAATTCACTCACATTAAGTATTCTTTATAATTATTAAGTACATGTATAAAATAGATGACACCAGGCTTGATAAGTCTTTACTTGCCTTTACCTGAAGCAACATAAGCAATACATGTATAAGTTTATAATTTATAGTGAATGCCACTTACTAGATTTCACAGCTACCACCAAAGCAAGGAGGTGCTACGATATCAAGTGCCACATACGACTTAACTGACAAAAGAATAATAAAATACCAGTAATATAAAACAATCTTTATCATGGCTTTAATTACCAAAAAATTACCTGAAGAATCCAGAAAAGGTTTATTATTATTTCCTTTTGTTCCACTTGGTAATTCATTACCATGATCAGTAGTATCAGCTAGAAATTAATTTCATAATTTTTTGTTTTAGAACTAGAACTTACAAGATTCATGTGAGTGCCTCAATTGCACTCCTTCATTAGAACCTGGTTCAACATTATTTAAAATATGCACTTTAATTATAATTAAAATCTAATATCAACAATAACAATAATTACATGCCACATTCAATAATACATGACACAGTCTTTTTATGTACAAAATAAATCACAGGATAATTTTGAAATACAAAAATTGTGCCACATAAATTTTTGACTTATGGTATTATAATTATTATAAAAACTAACTACCTCTTATATTAGTAACTGGTGTATTGGATATATCATCAACTGGTGATGGTAGTACAGTATGTGAACTGACATTATCAGGTATAGACTGACCTAATGTATTGAGATAATTAATCAATATTATGGAACACTGGATTAATGTACGTACACATAAAAATTTTCAAAAATTAAAATATTAGGCTTCTTAACTTACCTACATTTATACCAGTATATGCCTGAAGTTCAAATTTTGCTTTGCCCAGTTCATTAGGAAAATCATCACAAAGTTTAACTAATGTATCCCAACTGACATCTTTATTGGCAACAAACCACCTCTGGAATACAATAATAAGACATTTTTGTGCTGTTCCTGGTATTTGGATCAGATCAGACACCTTTACACCCAACCCAATCCCAATTAGGTTGTAATGGTGATCAGAAGAAATAAATATCTTTATGACAGCTGCCATATTAAGCTCCTTGTCTGTCAAGAATTATAATCATAACATTTTTAATGAATAAACTACAAAGGAGCATTGAATCATTTGAACTGTTGAATTATTTCCTTCAGCAGGTTTTATCATTGATGTACGGGTACATTAACATCACTGCTAAACTGATCAAAATGCGTACAAACAATGTACATGTATAATGGCACATTAAATAATTTATTACCTCTTGTATCATCAACTTGTGATGCTAGTACAGTATGTGAACTGACATTATCAGGTATAGACTGACCTAATGTATTGAGATATAATGACTACCGGTATATTGATCACTGATAAATTGAAAATATACACACACTTACCTAACTGGTGTAATATAGAGGTAGCAATATCTGTTAGTGTACGATGTTGTTGGTTTATTAATACATGACATATATCAATAAGATACTGCTCTGGATTAAGAGATAATCCCAACTGTCGTTGTAATACACTCATCAGTTTCATTGCTTTAGTATAATCAGTCATAACTCCCATTACAAGTATATCATCAAAAGCTTGTTGAGGTATCAATCCTTTATCATGTAATTCAGTTAATGTTCTGTAAAGGCTAGTAGCAATAGCATCAGTGAGTTTATCAGAATGAGTCCTTAATATATCCTTTGGATTACCTACAGTAGTACATCAATTAATAATTCATTTTCAAAGAGCCATATGCTAGTGGGCTAATTAATACATTTACTATATTATACTCACCTTCAAGGGCACCGCTTGCACTTTCATCCTTTGGAGTCATAAACCAGGACAGATATGCATGAGATTGAGAGTCTGACAGCTTTGAATAGCCACTATATGTACACTTGATAGATACATTACTATCATGAAACTCAACTTTTGTACACTGTCTTCTACTTCTATTGCAGAGGCTGCAGGGGCAGTAGAATGCTTCAATTGGATTGTTATTAGTATTAATATGTTTTTCTGTCATGGCATCATTTATTGCTTTCCTTATAGACTTTTTTATATTTTGTTTAGAAAAATTATCATCACAATAAATTTCAATGCAGTAAAGCTGTTCCACAAGTATTACTTGACACAAACTGTACTTCTTTTGTAAAGTAAAGAAATTTGAGTAGCAGTGTTCTGTAACGATGTGCCATTTTTCATCACCAGGATAAGAAAGAAGCTGGACAACAACAGCACAAAAAAGACCCATAGGTACTGGTTCATCATTAAAATGATAAAGAAGAGGAGATGTTTTAGAAAAGGTAGAAGGATCAGAGACATCTTTGAGGGGAAGTAGTGCAGGCATCAAAAACACTACATCTTCTTCATCTGTTGGTATCAAAGCAGCAATCTTAAGGTATTCAAATAAACCCAAAAGAATGTCTTCATTTCCCTTAAGTGCACCAGAATACATTTTTAAAACTTTAATTGATAAATAACCTTTTGCAGCTAGTTGTTTAAGTTTCTCGGGACCTGCCTTCAAATTTTCACGAGATTCATAGGCTGCAATCATCAATTTTCTAATAATGTTAATGAGAACATCTAGCTTGACAAAAACGATATCCTTTGCTGGTGAATTATGATAATAACATAAAATTTTCAAAGCGTGAAAATATTTCAGTGCACTCAAAACTTCTGGTTTTGACAAATGTACTAATGTTCCAAATTCTATACATGAAGATAATCTCAATATTCCATTGGTTCCCTTTGCTTTTTTGCAAAGAATATCACCAAAGTCATGCCACTTCAATGGTACTTTAATTTCATAAGCTTGTTGTTGCAATACTTCTCTAATATTTTTTATAGATTCATCAAACTCACCACAGCCATGCATAGCCTTTCTGCCATCAACTTTATGTAGAGCATCATGATATTCAATACCAATGGCCTTACATTTATCTTCTAGAATTGAATTTAATTTAATTTGAATATTTTGTATCATTTCTGTTTCATTATAACAATTGTCACGATGTGTACCAATAGTTATTACTTGAAGGTTTGCATTTGGAGGTGCCTTAATATATGGTTGATCTTCCATCATTAACCTGAACTGCTTAATATTACAAGTTACAGCAGAAAAAATTTGTTGTAGCTCATCTTCTATTTTTAAAGAATATGGATCATCAAGAAGCTCAATTTTATCATCTAGCAACATTGGTTTTGCAGATTGTGCACTGAGATTTTTGGACAGATTAACCGCTAGAACAAGGACTGAGCTACAAGGCATAAAAGCTAATAATAGCTTTTGAAATTGTATATGACCACCTGAATCAAAAAAGTACATCCATTCCTTGTCTATTAGACCTAGATATTTAAAACAAGAGTATTAGTTAAAAATATTCCTAAGATTGCTTTCACCACCTTGCATGCATATTGCATAGCAGGTTTCTTATTAAGATTTCATAGAGGTTCTCTCACATGTTGCTTGGTACATTGCTAACAATTTGACTCATGTATGAGGAACTTTAAAGCATTTTTTAATTGTTATTTCTAGTGTAATACCATACATCACACATGAGTAAAAGCTAAAAACATAGTCTAAGATGAAGTCACATTATGGTCATGCAGCCTAATCTGCATGGTAATATAATCTTTGGAACAATTACTACCTGCATGAAGCTCAGGCACCCATAGATCATAAAAAATTGTCATGCATTTTTCTACATTTGCTTACCAATTTCAGTCAGATCTTTTGAATAAGATGTTGATACTCCTTCTTGCATGTCAACCTTGAATATATCGTCATCAGTTACTGACATCCATCTCTTACCATCAGTTCTAGCATATCGGTTAATGGAAAAACTTCCAAATTTATTAGAACGTTCAATACCACTGGTATGGCGGCTGACTTCACTGTATGGCAATCCAAGAATTAATGATTCAATGCTAGTTTTTCCAACCCGAGCTTCTCCTTGTATTATGACCATACTAACTTTATACTTTATGGATCCACATTTTAGAGCACGTTCCAGATCTCCTTGAATTTCTTTACTTAATAATTCTAAAGTAGATAAGATTATAACTTCAGTTCATAATAATGAGATATTAACCTGATCCGTCATATATTGTAATATGATCCTTAATTGATTCTCTGTACTGGGGTAGTAGCTTTTCAATAAGTTTCTGTAATCTTTTTATGTTTTTTTCCTTCCAGAGAATTTGAAGGTATATGTAAATATGAGGTAATGCATTCACATTTCTACCAAATGGCTTATATTGTTCCTGCAATAACATTTTTAGTGCAACAACTGGCTCTAGTGTGCATAATTTGTCACTATTATGTTGATGAGTGCTTAATTCATTAATGAGCAGTTTATAAGTTACTCCATCATCAGTAAATGTTACATCTCGTAGGAACTCTTTGCTCATGTCCAGTAACAGTTCACAATCAATGAAGTCATAATGAGGTTGCATCTTCTTTAAAATATCATCAATATTGTTATCTACGGAGCCATGTTCCAACTCCTTGTCTACTGTAAGCCAACTAGATACCTGTTTGGCTATTTGTTCATCGTTGTTAGATTTTTCTTCAAAATTTTTTTTAAAAATTAAAACTAACTTTAAAAACCGCTCATGCAATTCATCTAAAGACTTGTACACTTCCCTTTCACTTGCTTTACTTGCAAAAGAATGATTTATATCATGAGGAGTAGTAGCACCTATAGTAAAATTAAAAACATGTTCTTCAGTTTAGTTATTCAATTAAATTTAGAGCTATTAAGATGTTAGCTTAATACTCCAACATGTAAATGAATTGATCTATGTATAATTACAAAAAATTTTTGGATTGATGCATTACAGCGCAAGTGATTGTCTACATGTATTTCTTCACTATAATGATTGATGTAGGGATTATTTTGACATGTATATTTTATAACATACCTGTCAATGCAGTATTAGAAACTGGTGAAAGTTGTGATATCATTGTTGATGAAGCGGTTGGTACTTGTAATAACAATTCCGTATCAAATACTTTTCCCCATTCGACTGCTAATGTTCTAGCAGCAGCATCAGTTGGTCCACCTTGAGATATACACTCCAGAAACACTTGACAATGCCTTTTTAATTCTGATACATCTTTTGATAATGAGAGCGTAGTTTTAAACTCCTGTATCATTCCATTGTAGTCAGGTAAATCTTTCACTGAATCTGAAATAATTCCTTTGGCATGCAAATGTGATGATATTCTACTAAGACTGCCCATTGTTGCTTCTTCTAATATAGCATAGTGTGAACGAAGGATCTCTTTTATATTCCGACAAGCTTTATAATAGTACATGTAAATAGTAATAATATTATTTTTAGCAAATAAAAATTTTACTAACCTTCTTCAACAGTAGGTCCAGGATTAAATTCCACATCTCCTGATAAGAGGAGGAGGAGACAAGAAATTGAAGAGAATATATTAATATCTCCAGGTAATACTACTGACTGGAGGGTATCAGTAACAATATCACCAGTAGTACATTGTACTTGGTAACAGTAACAATGACCTAATGATACATACAGTGTATAATGTACATATGAAGTATAGCTATTGATTTACCTGGTGGAGGAATTGAATTGTGTTTCAATAAAAGGAAACAAAAATAAA